ACTACATAGTCGTAGCTTAATACAACAGGATCTATTTAGCCTGCTGGAAGAAATCATAAAGGATAAGAGTAGGTAAGAAATATATTTACAAGATTACTCACTGAACAAGTAATATTAAGGTTTTGTAAATGGGGGGAAATGGGAAAACTGGCTTTCAAAGTTTTGTTGATTTGGGTTGGTTTTAATATTACTAAAATGTTAGGCAATATATAATGCCACAATGGGAACATTTCCATCTTTTTTTTGTGGAAAGTCTAGGTAAGACTCTTACATGTGTAGTAGCACATTAAATCTTCCTTTTATTTTTTCTTCTTAGTGGTACAAGATCACCAATGGTGTTGGTATTTCCAGAACACTATTTCGTTGTTGTGAAAAACAGCAATGTTTTCAATAACTAGCCTGTATTTTGTCAACTTATGGTTTTGTCTGTTATGATACTGCAGGAAGTAAATTTTGGTATAGCATTCCTTACTAAAAAAAGTAAATTTGCCTAAGGCATTACTTATTTAAAAAGGACTTTTCTTTTTGATAAATTTTCAATTGGATTAGTCTTGTAGAATCTTCTTGAAGTTTGCAAAGACATGGTTTAAATTATTTTTAAAAAGTTATTATTTTGGGGGGATTCTTTTTTTGTCTTTTCAACAGCTTTGATACTTTTTTTAAAAAGTTTGCTTGTTTATTTATTTATTTATTAAAAAGAATATCTAACAATTTATACCACACTTTTAAAAATCCCTGAGACAAAGCAGTCTGGTTGCCAAGGCAAATTTCATTTTTCCTTCATACAAAATAATATAAACTCTCAGGTGTTTATTTTTTAATTGCAAATGTTAAGCAAGTAGATAAATGACTCAGGCTTCATTGGCATTAAACCCAGAATTCAGAATTTTATTAACTTAATTTCTCTCTAGCAGTGGGAGGATAGGCTTTCACAGTATTCACAGTATTATTACTCTTGCCTCTATCTTTCTGCTCTGGTTGTGGAGGGAAACATACAGAACAATTTCAATAGATGAACATGGAAGCAAAAATTCATATCTCTATTTGATATTAAAATTTACATATCGAATAGAAATGTTGAGGGGCTTATTTGATAATATAGCCTCTTTCATTGTTAGCATCAGCTTGAGTTCCTGAGATGTTAACTGGTGGGGTTTTTTTCTGTCAACCCGCCCAACAGATAAAATTGGAACTGCTTCTTCAACTTCTATATGGTTTGGTGTACATGACCCAGCAATATGCTCTTGCCACAAAGAAAGCTAACAGTATCGTGGGCTGCGTTAGGAGTAGCATTACCAGCAGGTCGAGGGAGGTGATCCTTCCCCTCAGCAGCAGTGCAGCCACACCTGGAATACTGTGTCCAGTTCTGGGCTCCCAGTACAGGAGAGACATAGACATACTGAAGGATCACGAAGTTAATGAGACAACTAGGGAAAGCGTGGGAGAGCTGGGACTGTGTAGCATGGAGATGAGAAGGCTCATTCATTATGTACTTATCAGTGAAGGATTTTGAGAAGACAGAGAGAAGACTTTTTGCAGTGGTGCCCAGTGGCAGGACCAGAGGCAATGTGCAAACACTGAAACACAGGAGGTTTCCTCTGAATATCAGAAAACACTTTTTCACTGTGAAGGTGACTGACCACTGGCACAGGTTGCCCAAAGAGGCTGTAGAGTCACCCACCTCGGACATATTCACAAGCCATCTGGAAATGATCCACAGCAACCAGTTCTAGGTGACCCTACTTGATCATGAGGGGTTAGACCACATGACCTCCAGACATCCCTTCCAACCTCAACCATTTGGTGATGCTGTGAAATTTCCTGCTTTCTCAGATACAATGATGGGATTGAGTGCTAAAGCTCAGTTACTCTTTTTCTATTTTCTTTTTCCTGCTAGTTTGCCCAGTAAAATTAGTTATTTTTCCTAACTAACATCTGTATAAACTGCCTTTATCCTCAGAATAGTATGACTAAAACAGTGGTATTTCCAGGAAAACCTTCAGTTCTTGTAACACAAAGCATTTCAAGGTAAAAGATATGATTATTTTTTTCTTAATTATGTTCTTTTCAAAAAAACAAAAAGCCAAACAACTGGTGTTTTGGCTACCCACATTAAACCTTTAAAGCATTTGACAAGAGACATCTTGCAATATCTCATGATAGTCTGAAATATGTCCATCGTTGAGGAAATATGTACACAAGAAGAATGTGACTTCTTTGTGAAAATATGAATTGCTCAAAAAACCTAGCTTTAAAAAAATTAAGCAAAAAGTTGGAAGAGGCAATTCATGTAACTTTTGCCTGTTATATTGGAGTTATAAGAAGTTCTGTGCTGTCTAAGGAGATAGTATGATTCCAGAGACAAAGGAAAGTTGAAATCTGTTTTAGAAAAAGCCTCTTTTACCCCTGCATAGAGACTGTTTTTCTTCATTGCCTTGCATTTTGTTCAACCAAATCTCTCATATGGGTACTGAAAAGAAGTACATTAGAATCTGGAGGTGTTTTCATTGTGTCTTTCAGACATTAAATTCCCACCATCAAACAAAATAAAATTCTATTGTTTGTTCATTTTGTGCTGACAATATTGCTAAGTGTGTGAATGATCTTGCATTTAAAAAATGTTCTGTCAATATTTTAAATAAAACAGGCTTAATATACTGATCAACAAGACAACATATAAAATCATTCTTATAGATAGGTATGCATCCCTAGTTGTCTGTATTTGTGTTTTGAACAAAAATTACTGTGAAAGTTACATAGCTTTGATGCCAGACATGTAAGTTTTTTTCGATCTGTTATCAAACTTATCAGAATTTCAGGATCTTGCAATAATTTATAAAACTCAAATGTTAAAGAAAAGAATAGATCTCTACAGTTTGAAAGGGACTGGAAGAGGGCTTAATATGCCCTGTTGTCACTAGTCAAAACATTTCTGTTTTCTTTCCTGCCACTCCGGAAAGAGAAATTTCCCAGTTTTTAACATAATAAGATTTAAGCGTTTTTTTTCTGCATGGTGTGCAGTCACACATACACACACATATAAAAATACCACTTTCTGTTTCCTTTGGTTGTTTTACAATCGCTGCATTTTTTTCTTCCTATTATTGTTTTCCCTTTCATACTGCACTATCAGTTATCTTTTTGAACCTTTGAGAAGAAAGTTATGTGCATATTTAAATTATTTTTAAAAATATAAATTCTCTTCAAGAATAACCTGGACTTTCTGTGTCCCAGATTTTCTTAAATCTTTTCCTCTTTTATCCTTTAATTATTTAGCAAGACTAGTAGATCCATATTTTCCCTATCTCCTATTTTGGGCCTACTACAGATCTGGCAGGCTCACTTCAGCCCATGGGAAGAATCATAGAGTGACTCCTCGTAGAACATATTTCTGGGCATGTGAAGGAGAAGATAGTAATTGGGAAGAGGCAGCATGGAGTTACCAAGCGTAAATCATGCTTGACCAATCTGACAGCTGTCTATGATTTGGGATGAGGAGAGAGAAGTGGATGTCATTGGGCACTCAACTTTAGCAAGGCTTTTGACATTATCTTCCACAGTATTCTTATATCCATATTGTTATGTAGCACTGACCCTGGGACACAGGGGCCCCTGTGAGGTCACAGGCTTGGGATGGACAAGCTGGGGACAGCCCTGTGGAAAGGACCCTGGGGCTTGGTGCCTCAGCCATCAAAGATGGCAAACAGCTCCACAGGCTGTATGAACAGGACTATGGGCAGTCAATACAATGAGTGATTATCCCCATCTGGTCAGCCATCATTGGAACATATCTAGAGTACCGCATCCAGTTTTGGCCCACCTATTACACAAAATATATTGACAAACAGGAGTGAGTTTTGCTGAAGGCTATCAGGGTAGATATGATGACCCCATAGCAGTCTTCATTTCTGGTCTCAGGTTTGTCATCGGCACCTACTTCACACTTTGTCTCAGTTTCTTTCCCTGGCTTCTTGATGGCTGTCATTGCTCATCTGCTCACAATGCTTTTTCCAATGTCTTTTGCCCCAACATTTTCCATTTTTTTACTGCACTATATAAAATCCATGTGTTAAAAAAAGTTCTTTCCAGCCTATGAAAAGGAATGCTAGAGCTGTACACAGAGAGTATAAGAATTACAAAACAAAACAGAAAAACCCACCCACATTCAGGCCATTTTTTTCCCTAGTCATAGATGGCCAAACTCATATGGATGACATTTTTAAGAAATTAATTCAGCCTGAGGCAGATGTCCTGCCTGAAAAAGCTAACTATAAACAGGAAAAGTTTGCTCAGAGTTCCAAGAAACTGAGAAAATGATATTATAATGTGAAGTGTTAAGCAGTTTAATATAGGCTGTTCTATCAACTCTGGTTGTAATAACATGTTTTTCTTCCATTTGTGGTTACCTACTTGCATCAAAGGAAAATGGAAACAGAATGAATTTTTTATGCTGTAAATTTGCTACAAAAGTATTTTTTTGTTGATAAGCTTTTCTAATATTTGGAAAATAAAATAAAATTGTGTCTTCTTATGAGGATGACAATTAGACTTTAAAGACAGATGTCTTACAAATTGTCCTTACAAATCTGAGATACTAATTGGCATGATAATTGAGTTATTTCATTTAACTAATAAGACACTGCTGTTCCTACATTAGATTCTAAACCAAGTCAAAGTAGTACAAATATAGAAATCAAAAAAAATATTGTAGAATAATCACAAGGCTGTCTTGATGTCATTGTGATAACTATGTTTCCAAGTAGAAGTTTATTAGAGAAGCAGACCATTCACTTTTTGATACATTACATTTTATAGAAATGTATTAGAAATGTATAGAAATAGACTCTACCTATTTATGTGTGTTTGTCTATTAAAAACCTTATAAATGTAAATAGCCTTGGGGGGAAAAAACAGATTATAATAAAAATCTAGTAGATATGGATAATAATTTTACTTGTACTATTTATACACTGGCCTAAAATACTTTTCTTCATTTTAAGGTAACTGAGCTGCACAATATCAAAAACATAACTAGATTGCCTCGAGAGACAAAGAAGCATGCAGTGGCAATTATCTTTCATGATGAGACGTCAAAGACATTTGCGTGTGAGTCAGGTAAGCAATTGGTACTGCGTCTCTAGCTTGAAGAAATTAAGTTAAAGACTTGCTGAGATGAATTAACTTAAAATACCAGATAGAAATCATTAGCTTAAAGGAATTTGTTGTAAAGAAGAACTTTGGAGTTTATGGTTTAGGTTTTGGTAGGGATGTTTTTAATATGCTTTGGGAGGTGTTGGGGGTGATATAGACCTCTTTCTTCCATTACTTGTCTTTGACTCCACACAGATGGTCTAAAGACTGGAGATTTTCAGCTAAACTTGTAAAACTGTGTGAAAAATTCCTATGGGATGTTATTAAGTCAAGATTAGAAGCATTCTCTTTTTTACCAATTTTTGCTACAGGCACTTACTAAACTAATAATTATCATGCCATTGAAAATAAGAGGTAAATACGAACTAACACCTCAGGATATTGTAAAGCTGGATGTCAAGCAGTATGCAGTTTGAACAGCTACATGGTGTCATGAATGAGTTAAGTTGAGAACAGACTTGGGCGTCATGGTACATAATGACAGGTAGTTACTTGTGAGACACTGAACGCTGCACTATTAAACAGCACTGTTTTCTTGTTAGAAAATGCAGTTGTACATGTCTGTGTCCTAGGGTACATTTTACCTGAAAAAAATAAAAAGTTTTAAAAAAGAATGAGAATTCTTTTAATGATAAAGCTTCTATTTGTTTAGGGACATATTTGAGACTCTGCATTTTAAAATTGTATCTTAATATTATGATATAAACATTGCATGGCATACAATATAAGTTAAATACAATGAAACAAAATTCAAGAAACCTGTGGAGGAGGTAGGTTAAAAGTGTCTAAGGTCATGAATTACGTGGATTTTGGATCAAGTATTGCAAACATTGATATGTTCATCCCATCACAAAAGACAGATTGACAGAGTTTTGTTGGTTTATTCATTTAAATTTAAAAACACACACATAGAAAATCTGTGGCTTTGTAGGATCAGTTTAACAGATTATTAGATAATAGTTCACATTAAAGACCAAAAAAAAAAACTTCGCAGCTTGTTTCCACAAGCGTTTTGCCTTTGCACAAGGAACTATTACCATTTGTACTGCTGCCAAAGTGGGCCAAGTACTTTACTTTCCTTTATAAAACTTATAACAATTTAAGGAATATTTAAAATCTGCTTGTTATTTAAGATGTTTTCTACTTCTTCTCAGATCTCAAAAAAAATATTCAGTGGCAGAGGTTTCTATGGGACAATGCCTAGACTTTTAGATTATTCCAGTTGTATAGTGATGTACACAATGGGGTTTATTTTGGAAAATCACGCCACTTCTTCGGTTAACACAATAGTACCTGTACTCTACTGACACCTCTTCTTTCCTGTAGCTTCAGTGGCAAAGAACCACTGAAGTGATTTTGACTCAGTCAAAAAATCTTCTCCTGGAGCCATAGCTGCTTGACCTACTTGAATTATTTAGGAGCCCAAAGTTTCCACCATGGAGTCTCTAAATATACAGAAGCAGATACTTTGTTTCCTATCATGTTGACCTCCGGGGCAGATGGAAGAACAGTAATGCTGAACCCATTGCGAAAGGTCTGCTGAGCGTAGAGTAAATAGTTTCTTGGAAAGGATGAGGAGGTAGTGCTCAAAGCTGAGTTGGTTCTATATGGGGACTGAACAATGTGTGGTAGGGTTCTTGTCAGAGTTTTACCAGGAAATGTTTCAAAATAACCGTATAATTTTGGTTTTGAAAGTATGTGCTGATATCTTTGTGCAGTCTAAAAGCTGATGAGATGAAATGTAGCACATTTTTCTGGTACTTAGCTTTCTTAATTATGGAATTAAGCACAGTAAAATGCCATTCTGTTTTAAAATAGGTCTGTAAAGATACAGAACACTTTGGTCCTCTCCAGGAAGCCTGGGAGCTGTGATAACAGCACACTAGGTGTGCTGGCTGGGAGCCTGTGGTTTTTTCCTGAGCTCCTGTGGCTTCTAGCCCCTCAGCTCGCTTATTGTCTTCAAGGCAGCTACTGGCAAGTCTGAGCTCTGGATGGGCTGTAGCCCCCATATTTCCATTTGGATTTCAGCAAATTAATCATCTGAGGAGCACCTAATTTTGGTAATCTTCATTTGCTAATGAAAACATTCTGCAGAAAACCAAGCAAAAACCCCCCACGTGCTTTTCTTATGATTTAGCAGTTCCCATCACTACCTCCAGTGGTCCCAACACTTACAACAGCTGTAGAAATCTGTTCCATTCTGAAGCTCTATTGAAATATTTTTAAGAGCAAACCGGTCTCAGCTATTACAGTTCCCTGATTAAAAGCATGGGATAACAAGTCTTTGAAGAAGAATTATCACTCTTCAGGGAGAGAAGGAAGCTACTTGCTGTCGCTATATCTCTTTCTGACATTTGTTCTAGTGAGCAGAGACCTGTGACTTCAGTGATTAGTAAGTAACATTTTTAAATTGTCTCAGTTACCACCAGATTTTTTTCAGTGGAAGTAAACTAATGAAAAGACATGGCTGATTAAATAACATGAAAAGTAGTTTATAACTCAGTGAGCTTAAGAGAGGCTGTAATGAGTGACAACTCTAAAGACCATGGCAAATTGCTGTCCCCTTAGTAAGGAACATGCTAACGTCTCAGTTTCAGCCTCCCTGAAAACTATGTGAAAGTTATTGTCATTAAGGGAATTTTAACATTTTTTTTAATCAATTCTGAATTGCTTTGGGATCAGGGAAATGCAAAATTCTCAAGTTGCTAACACATTGAGAATTGAGATAAAATTAGATGTTGCCAAATGTATAAGCAGGTTGAATGGAAGGGCAGAATACTGTGAAGAGAAATAAACCAATTTGTGGGATTTGAGCATATTTACTCTGGCATAATAAAAGTTAAAAAGCTATTACTGTTGACTTCTAGATACATCAAGGAGAAAAAAAGGAATTTTTTAAGATATAAAGTGACCTTATCGTAAGAACAAATATAGAATATACACCCAGTACCAATCTATGTTGCTATGACCATTCAAATAGCAGGAGCCGCACAGAGTGAAAACTTAGAGGAAAATAAGAGTTAAAGCAGTGAGGTTCCACACAAAAGTCCTTCCCCATTCCAACATGGTTTTTTTCTGCTCTCCACAGTGTATTATCAAGCAAACAGAGAAATTCTTTTAACTCTGGATTCTAGCTACTGGCTTTGAGGTGCCGTCTTTCCCTAACACCTTTTGCAAAAAACTTGTTGGGATGGGTTCTGTTTCTTTCTTTGTTTGTTGTTGGGGTTTTGTTGGGGTTTTTTTCAGGTAACTGTGATGTTAGTTTTTGTGTAGATACAGCTATGCTCAGACACATGTATCTATTAAGAAGCTCTTCTTGCAAGGCTAATGTCTGTAATCTAAAGTTGTAGATGTGATGCAGTGAGATTCCCCTTTCTGCAGGGAACAGAAAGAAAATTAAATTGGTGGATGTGAATACTGATTAAAGCTGGAAGTTTATGGTGCTATTATGGAAGTTGCTAGTATGATGAGGATTGTGCCTGAATAATAGCTAGCTTTCAAGAAATGAAGACTCTGGGTTGCACTAGGTCAGTGACTGGCCATACTGGAGTGTGTTTTTCCATTTAAGGAAGCCAACAAAATATTAATCTATACAAGTCCCTGGCTCTTTTAGTGTGAGTGGACTCACCAAATTTGTGTAAAATTTGATTTCCAAACAACAGTATGTGAAGAAAATTGATTAACTTGTAAACCTATTGATAAAATGAAAATGAGGTGTTGCAAATAGTATGGATTCAGAGACAAGAGAGAAAATTAATTAGGGCTGAAATGTGATTTCAGTGCTTTGAGTATAGAATGAGACGTAACATGAAGAAAAGAAAGAGGCAAAATCGTAGAGAAATCTTAAAAATGCAACTGTGAAACAAATGCTGGCATCCCCCAAAACACAGATATTTGTCTGAGTTCTCTTCAATACAATGCCTCATTCCGTATAGAATTAGATTAATTGAAGGGGTTTATTTCTTTAAAGGCATGCATGAACTGCAGTTCTAGAGTCACTGTAATCAAGAAATGTCCTCATTATTTTTAAGAGGTTATACTTTGGCATTCCCTTAAAACTTCCATGATGATCTCTTCCAACCCCATATCATTCTGTGATATGTTGCTGCTCAAGTTCTGTGGAAAATAGACTTGGGGCATTGCAAAATTAGCTACCTTATTTGAAACTTCTGGTTTAGGGGTTTATTCATCATTACACTATATTGATACAGCTTAACAGATATTAGTATTCTTGCAGCTGTTTTGGGTCAATCCACCATGTTAATGTCTTGAATGTCTTGCTGCTGTGATGGCTACCTTTATAAAACTCTTTTATACATCTATAGCATAAACAGTCTTTTTCTTCTATATTCTTATGCTTTCAACTTTTTCTGAGTGCAGTCAAACTTTGATAAGTGAGTCTTGTTATAACTGCAAAAAAAAGTTTTAATTTGTTGAAAATGAAAGACTGTTGGTGTCAAGTGACAATGTGTTCAGCAACTAGGTTTTTTTTAGTTCTGTGCATATTTTTCCTTTTAAGCCTGTTTTCACCATTTGTCGGTGTTGCTTTCTTTTCTTTAAAAAAATTGCATTGCTGCTATCATTTAAAAAGGCATAAATTCAGTTCGTTTTTGTACTGAAAAAGCTTTTGGTCTATTGCCAAATAAGTACTGATTATGAGCTGGGATTTTTTTCCTTGATACTTTTCACAAGCAAAAATATTCTGTGCTTGAAGAGTTGGACAGATGTCAGTGGAATATTAGATGTAATTCGTATCACTATATCCTTTGACAGATATGAAGCCTGGAGGTTTTGGATTAAAATTGCAGAGAAACATTGAGGCTTTGAGATGAAGCATCGGTGATCTTACCTGCTTTATTACTAGAAATACAAATGGCTACATAAGCCTTAAAAGCAACTAGATTAAAGTTCCCATTTTCACTCTTAGTTTTGCAAGTTTGAAGCTCCAGGATCATAGAGGTAGT